TCTCAGGCTTCTTGTGCCAGGGGCTGTAGGCCCTAACTGCTTATCTGGTGCTGTACTGACGTTGCCCTGAAGCCCATGGGGGGCCCTTGTGTCTGGTGCTGTGCTGAGGGGGTGTGGTGGGGGTTGGCTTGTGCTACTGGAGGCCATGGGGCGGGGGGGTTGGCAGTTTACCTAGTGCTAAACCTGTATGTGCTGAGGCTGGTGGGGTGTTTCTGCATTTCCCTGGGGGTACACTGAAGCACATGGAGGTCTGGCCTCTGGAGGTTGCCTGTTTGCCCAGGGCTATGCTGAAGCACATGGGGGTCTTTGTGTTGGCTGTTTGCCTGCTCCACCACACTGTGGCTCAGGATCTCCTGCTGGTTTGCCGAGGTAGGGCTTCCTGCTGGCTTGCCAGGATGCTTCCTGTCCTTGATGACATTCCCCTTTTATGAGAATGGGACAGACCTTTGTTATTGATCTTTCAAGTTTCTTGGGCTAAAAGATTGCTTCACTCTGTCTTTTTGCTAATTCTGCTGTTCCAGGATTTGTTTTGGGGGTGCTATCTTATGGTTGTGTGGAGGTGAATATGGGAGAGTTATGGTGATTTACTGTTTGCTCCACCCTCTTGCCTGCTAGAAGTCTGTTCAGGAGTCTGTTTCTCAGTCATGTCTGACTCTTCGTGATCCCATTTGGGGTTTTCTTGGCAAAGATACTGGAGTGATTTGCCATTTCCTTCTCTAGTTCATTTTATAGGTGAGGAAACTAAGACAAACAGGGTTAAGTGACTTGCCCATGGTCACACAGCTAGTAAGTATCTGAGGCCAGATCTGAACTCAGGAAGAAAAGTCTTCCTGACTTTAGGCATGGCACTCTGTCCCCTGGGCCACCTAGCCACTCAATGAACAAAACAGGGTTAGGAAATGAGACCTAGGAAGAGGGGAACTGGAAAAGAATTGATTCAAGAGAAGGGATGGATGAAGTCTTTAATTAGAAGGGAGGGCTATTACATGGAGGTTCTGTTTCTACTCAGAGCAGGCTTAAAAACCAAAGCAAGAATGATTAAGGTTGACACATGTTAAGAAATTTCATTTCATTAAGGATTTCAAAGCAGATGAATTACAGAGGAAGGTGAAGGAATCTCCCTCTCCAAACTCTGAGATTAAAAGGGAATTATACTGGAACATGTTGGGTTAGGAATAGGTTTACCAGATGGTAAGTGGGGGGAAAAAGGATTTTAGATGTTTTTTGGTGGATCCCGTTAGTCCTAGATTTACAGAACAGAAGTAGTGACATAAAAAGATAGAGTCTTCACTAGGTAAAAACAATGTGGGAGGAAATGATATGTAAAAGACGGCCACAACAGACACAGGCAATTGCTTTTTTCCTGCTAAATACACAAAGTGGTAACAACTCAGGGGCTCCTGTAAAGGCCCGTTTTTCTCCAGAGCTAGCAAAATATGGTTGTTCTCAACTTTACCCAAAAGAGGGACTTTGTCACTTCCCCAAACAACCCCCAAAGAGGCCTTTTTCACCCTAATTAGTTGTTTCAACCATTTCACTTCTCTCCTTATAACTCTACTGATTCCTCATCAGATCTACAAAACCCAGTCTGGTTTTAAAGGCTTACAGATTATCCCACTTCCCTCCCACTCCTAAGTACCCCAGCTGCCCCTTCTGTTCCAGCTAAACAAATCACTAGGCACTTCTTTTCTTCCTCCCACTACTGCCTCCATATCTTCCACCCACTATGTCTAAAATGTCTTCCCACTTCCATCTGCCAAACCATCCCTCTTCTCTCATTCCCATCATCATCATCTCAAAATCCACCTCCTCCAGGGAGCCTTCCTCAGTAGATAGGCTAGGGATAGCAGTAACTCAATTCTATAATCAAAACTGATAGGATGGGGAGCAACTAGGTGGTGCGATGGATAGAGCACCATCCTTGGAGTCAGGAGGACTCAAGTTCAAATCCAGCCTCAGACACTTGACACTTACTAGCTGTGCGACCCTGAGCACTACTGAGACTGGGCAAGTCACTTAAACCCACTGCCTAGCCAAAATGGATGGATGGCAAATTAAACTTGAAATCAGGGAGAACGCCACACCCCTCCCCATATAAGAGGCTTCTTGGGATCTACCCTATTTCAATAGAATGTCCTTTTCCCAAATACAAGGAAGGTCCTGCAGGGCCAATCAAGAATCTCATTTAGTGGCAGTTGTGGCATGGTGGAAAGAACACTGTGTTTGGATGAATGGATGGATGAAAAAGCATTCATTAGGCACTTAGTATGTGCCAAGTGATGGAGATACCAATATAAGCAAGCAAGGCAGATCTTGCCCATAAGGAGCTTATGATGTAAGGTAAGACCTAAGATCCAAGCACAGTGTCTAGTACATCGTAGGTACTCAATAAATGTTGATTGGTTTAAAAAAAAAAAGAACTGGGAGCTCAGTAGGATGGTGTGGAAATTTCCAGGAAGGAATGTGAAAGTGAAAGTTCACCTATCAGAATCTACAACCCCATGGACAAAGGAAAAGATTTGTGGGAGGGATGAAGAAGATGGCCAGAGTGGAGGTAGTGTGGTTTTAGGAACAGTTTAGGAATGGATGATGGAGCTAAGTGTGGAGAAGGCAGACTGTGGTTTGAGGGGGGAGACATACCTTCTCTCCAGAAAAAGTAACCTTAGCAGTCAAAGAAATGATGAGCTACATGGCTGTGTAAACAGAGACAAACCCTCAGTCTGTATTTTATTCAACAGCAGAAGAGGCCCATTGATTCTATCTTGAAGGAGGCCAGCATTATAGAAACTTCCTGCCTCCCAGAATATTTGATAAGAGTAAACATTCCGGGGGCAGCTAGGTGGCGCAAGGCATAGAGCATCGGCCTTGGATGCAGGAGGACCTGAGTTCAAATGCAACCTCAGACACATAACACTTACTAGCTGTGTGACCCTGGGCAAGTCACTTAACCCCATTGCCTAAAATAACAAAAACAAAAACAAAAAAGAGTAAACATTCCACTGCCACAAACCTGATCTTTGGAAACTCCAGAGATCCCCAAGATTAACCCTTCTAACCCCAACCTTAACACATTCTCCCTCCAAATCACCTGCATCCAGTCCCTGTTACTAAACCTCCCAAATAAGGAAAGTGGCTTTGGGCCGCCTGAAATGTCACCCTAAGACTGTGTAAAACCCCACATGTGTGCATCTTTCCTTGTTCTGTGGAGTTACTATAGTCACCTAGAAATTGCCCATCAGCTGATGCTAATTAAACTTTTTGTCTCTGAGATTTATTGCCCTGCAGTCCAGCTGACAAAGGTGGGAGGAATGAGGGAGGATCCTAGGGACTCTGTGTTTAAGGAATTCCCCAAAGTGAGTCCTTCCTGGAGTCTGGAGACCTGGATCTGAACCCCTTCCCAAATGAGTCTTATCTCCAAATTATCTTCACTTTATCCCAATTCACATAAATCTCACCTCTCCTTACTTCATCTTACCCCCTATCGACATGAGTCTTGCCTCCACATTTTTTGCTGACCTTGCTCCTGGGAGGTTGTGCTTACATTGGATATTGAATTTCTTGACTCATTCTAGGACAGTAGAAAGAGCACCAGTTCTAGATTCCGAAGTCCTGGCTACAAATCTTACTACTGCCACCTGTGTCAGCTCTGGGCAAATCTCTAAAGCTTTCTGGGCTCCAGTTTCTTTATCTATAAAATGAGGAGGTTGGGGGATCCCCTTCCAGCCCTAAGTCTCCGGCCCTATGAAATAATATTCAAAATAATATTCAGAGCAGGGACTGTTTTCTTTCTTTCCCCTTTTCTTCATTTATAGTTTTTAAAATTTCCATGCCTTGCTCTGAGCCTGGCACACAGTAGGCATTAATAAACGTCTGACTGCCTATAAAGTAACAAAATCAACTGGGCTCCTTTCCACCCACACTAGGATTCTCCGGAAGCTTCCTCCAGCTGTACTTTCATCTTTAAGGAGTTCTCTGTTTTAATTCCTTCACATCCTAGGAGGTTTTCCTCTCATCCTTCCAATCCCCTGAGGAAATGTGATCCATCTGCTCAGTTTACAAACCCCTTGGACTTTATGTAAATACAACAGAGATCACAATGTCTGAGCCTTGCTCCCAAGGAGTCCAAGATTGTTTTCAGGGGGAGCTTGGATGGCAAACAGGAGTCTGAATTTCAGTAACAAAGGGTTTGGCCTGAAGAAAGTTGCTGCCTAGTGCAATGTTTCCAGGGAGGGTGGAGTGTAGAGGAGGCAGCCTGGTTCTGTGAAATGGCTGGTCCTTCTTATGCTCTAGGAAGGCAGACTGAGACCTCAGTTTCAGGTTTGGTCAAACTTCTCATCCTTAGACCTGTGAAGGGACATATTTGAACTTAACACTGTTCAAAATTACTCACATATGCTCTGGTTTTCTTCCTTCTTCACCCACTGTATTCGTACACTTGTAAAAGTTTAGAAGAGTGTATAGTGCTGGGCTTGGAGTCAGGAAGACTTGGGTTCCTGGCCAGTCTTCCACATCCTAGCTGTGTGACTTGGCCCAAGTCACTTAACCTCTCACTGCCTCAGCAAACTTTCTAAGACAATAAATTATAGATCAGCTGCTGATCTGCATTTGTGGAGGGAGTTTCTACAATGGGAATTCCCCACAGGAATAAAATCATAGCTTCCCCCCCCCAAATAAAAATTAAGGAACACACTTCTTGCCTTTTATCACTGAGAGCTAGGGTTCAAATCTCTTAAGTCAGGAACATCATTTCCATCCATCCCTAGGTCCCAGGCTAAAATAGGCAGAGAAGCCTAGGTAGGCCATATTTGCAGAGCATTTATTCCCTTGAGGGCTTGGACCAAGTTTCTGCTTTAATTCATATCCCTCAGGGATTAGCACAGTGCCTATACATAGTAAGTACTTAATAAATGCTTGTTGATTGACTGATAGTTAAGAGTTGGGGGGCTAGGGGGAAATAGCCAGTGTCCAGCTCAAAGCTCTTGATTTGACACACCCACAAATTAAATAGCAAAACATTTTAATCCATTAGTTCTAAAAAGAACAGAGACAGCTTCCATCCGATGGGTGCCACACTCTACCACAGACTGATGAGGGAGCTAGCTGGACTGCAGTAAGTACCAAGCTAAACCCAGTCAGTTGAAGACACAGTTGGAGACAAGACGACACAGGGAAACTGGTTGCCCCCTCTCACCAGGAGCAAGGGAGCTTCCAATTGTTGGCTTAAAAAAAGAAACAAGCTTCTTCCTGATCTCTAAAAACATTTCCTTGTCTTCAAGGTACTACCTTCTCTCCCTGTAGGGTATTCAAAAATCCCATGTCTCAGCTACCAGGCAAATAACCTGGGCCACTGGGCCCGTGGGCCCATGGTTTGGTGCTATTTTGACCAGCACTGAGATGCGAGGTCCTGTGATTCTCATTTTAGTCACCAAGAGGCATGAGGGATGGATGCCCACTCACGTTAAGTAACAGCTTGGCTGCCACACAACTCTGTAGCACAACACTGATGATGACGATGGGAGCCTTCTAAAGCAGGGTGGGGGAGAGAAAGTAGACACTTTGATACAAAACTGACAAAGTGCCCAAGTCCCCAAACAAAACTCGCTGGAATTCCCTGGGTTGTCCTTCCATCAACCACATTCCCAGCACGTGAGTTCTGGTCCCAGGCCCTCCAGGCCTCACGCTTTGGTGATGTACCCTTCTCGAATGAGGAAGTCATAGATTTTCCGGGTCTTGTTCACGTCTATCTTGATGAGAGCTCTAGCCTGTGCCAGTCTCAAGCTCCCCTGTTTGTTGCACTCGTTCACTAGAGCTGATTTGTATTCTAAATAGGCTCCAGGGACCAACCTCACCATCTGACAGAGCTGGAAGACATGGCAAATTTAATAAACATTAACATCTGTCACTCTCATAATTTTACCCAACAGGTATCACCAACAAGACAGAGAGTGACTTCATCCCATAGGTATTTACGGAGGAACCACTGGCTGGCTGGGCCACATTCCACCAGGCGGCTTCTCCTTTAAGGAAGAGAGCAACCTATAGAGAGAAAACCAGGGTAGGATGTTCAGGGAGCCCAGGAAGGAGGATGGCTCTGGACCCTGGCCTGTCGGAGTAGACCCAAGGGCTCTTTCAGAGATATGATACCTCTTCGTTCAGGAGGCAGATATTGAGCACCTGAGGAAAGACCAATCCCCACTCATCCTCATCTGTTGGTGCATATGGCCAAATGTGGCAGTGAGCAGGGAAAAGATACTTTGATTTCTGAAGCCAAGATGCTTTTTAAAGTCTCAACCAAAAGAAAACACCTTGACAATCTCTTGCTTTGTGGCAAAAATTCTCTGTCAGCAGGGGTGGGGGGGTGGGGTGAACAGATACTAAGAGAAAGCAGCAGGGGCTCCAGTAAATATAGCAGCACAGACCTATGTTAGTTCACTGGCCTGCCTCACTTGAACTCCCTAGCCCCTCTGCACTGAAGTTGATCTCGTCTGGGCTCCTCAAACCAGGGTCAGCCAAAACTTTCCCTTTTCTCAAGAACCAAAAACTAGGTTTCCACTATCCCTAGCACAGGCAAAAAACAAAACAAAACTAAACCCTCAAATATCAATCAAACAAGCATTTTTTAATTGCCTACTATGAGCTAGGCACTGTGCTAGGTGCTGGGAATATAAAGCCATTCTCTGGGACCCTCACTCACTCACCACGTCCCCCTTCTGCTAGCTCCTTCTAAAGTGACCCGCAATAAGGTAGAAGGCTCTCTCACTTGCCTGGGAAGCTTGATTTTGACTGATAACTTGAAGACCAGGCTAGATCCTCTGGACATGAGCATGTAAACTCATTGCAAGTAGAGACTGTTTTATCCTTTGTATTGTATCCCTGGTGTCTAGCACAGTACTAAGCACATAAATATGTGCTGATTGATTGATTGATTGCACATCCCTGGCCCCTACCCCCACTACTAATGCATTAGAACTTCAGCTCTTGAAGGGCAAGGAATGTTTCATTTTTGTACCTAGGACAATACCTAGCACAATGCCTGGCACATAGTAGGTACTTAATCAATGTAGAATTGAATTAGCAACTCAGATGTTTATTAATATCTATCACTGAATATCTGTGAACTGAACCAAACTGAGGTCAGTTGAGGGAGGGGCTAACCCTCAGGGAAATCCTCTGGGGATTGTAATAGGAATATTGAAAAACACAAAAGGAATTGTAGCTTTGTCAGAGACATTGAGGGTAGATCATTTTTGGAAAGAGTAAAAAGAGAAATCCAATAAAATGGGTGATCAAGGTGAGCCATACCATTTTGAATTAAAACAAAAAAACCTCAGATTGATTTTCCTCAGGGGCTCCAAGTCAGCGCCTCTAAAATTTAAAAGAAAGGCATTGCAACCTACAATAAGTCAAAAGCCCCTCTGGATGGCTTCTTTTAAAGGACAGTACTCATTTAGATGTGAAAGTTCTGTTCTGTTCTGTTTTGTTGTTTTTTTTTAATTAGCCACAGTACTTTCTAGGTATGTGTTACCAAAGAAATATCAAGGGTGAGAGGGAAGATGTCATGGAGGCATGGAAATGTAATCTTGTGTTCTTCTCTGCCCAGAAACACTGAGAATGCCCTGACACAGCTCTCTGCCTCCCACTTCTCCCTGGCTGGGTCAGGGCTCTGCTATGCCTGGACCCTGTAATTGGCTCTTGGGACAGGTTAATTCAGTGAGAAACCAGACCCAATCCTGTGGTCCCTGCTCCTTTTGTTACCTCTTTTTCCTTCTCATTTAGCTTCTCAGTACCCGGAAGGCCAGTGAGATTCAAAGGAGGTGCACTCCGTCTACCTACAGTCAAAGAAAGAAAGAGACACTTAGCATGCCTGGCAATTTGCTTAGGGATTCATACAACACTTTTCGGGGGCCAGAAAGCACAATGAAAAGAAAGCCAAATTTGGAGGCAGAGGACATGGGTTCAAATCCCAAGTGGTTCTGCTATTTACTAGCTGTGTTTCTTTGGTTAAGTTTAAGAGCCTGTAAAATGAGAAGGTTGAAATAGATGGCATCTGAGGTCCTTTCTGACTCTAAATCAACCAACCAATCAACAAACAATATTGAGGACCCCCTAAATGCCAGCCAGCCACTGTGCTAGGGGGTGGGGAGATGGAGACAAAAATGAAACATTCCTTGTTCTCAAAAAGCCTATACACATATGAGTCCATATAAAATACAGACAGGATGGCACTAGCAGCTAGGGAGAGAATAAGAAAAGGCATTATGTGGGAGGGGGTGATTGAATGGAGCTCTGAAGCAAATGAGAGTCTAAAAGATGGAGATGACATAGCCAGACTAGCAAAGAAAATAGTGGTACCTCTCCAGAAAATGTTGGGCCTGGACCCTTGGGCCTCTGTCAGCAAAAGAGCTATATACAATGCTTTGGGTATGGTAACCAGAAAACCAAAGATGGAACTGAGACATTTTCCATCCTTTCTGGGTACCACCCCCCCACCCTCACCCCCACCCCACGCACCCCCGTCCCAGTCCCAAACACACATACAGACACTTCATGAAATTCACACAATAATAAGGAAAGGGAGCAGCCAGGTGAGGCCCCCACAGCCTCCTATTTAAAAAGTACCCACTTGAGGAAAAGATGCTTTCCCATTCCCCAGTTAAACATTGTCTGTTCCTATCCTAAATGCAAAATAATCAGCTCTAGGACTTAGCTGCTGGACATCTGGGTAAGTCACCTGTTTATTTCAGCAACTTCTACCAATGAAGGAGGAAATCCCATATATCATTTTAAAAACAAACTTTATTGAAATCTTTTGTTTTTCTTTACTTCACTTTCATTTCCAAATAGCACCATCCCCTCCACCCCTGCCTAGCAGGCCATCCCTTATAAATGCAGAATAGGAGAAAAAAAGTTGAGCAAAACTAACCAACCTATCAACGGAGTCTGCCAGTCTATGCAGTGTTCCACATCCACAGTCCCCCACCTCTGCAAAGGGAGGGAAATGTGGTTTTGGTTTTGGTTTTTTTCTGGACCAGACCTGTGATTTCCCTGGTGTAGAGAACTGCCAGTGAGAAACTTCCCTTTACCAAGGCAGAACTGTATCTTCTCAGAAACTTCTGCCCTGGAGGCACTGGGAGGCTAAGTGATTTGTCCAGGGTCACCCAGCCAGAATGTGTCAGAGACAGGCCTTGAACCTAGGTCTTCCTGACTCCATAGCCAGGTCTTGATCCACCACTCCCCAGCATTTTCCTCCTCTCTTCTCCAAGACTGAGCCTAGTCAGTATAATTAAGCAGCATTCAGATTTGAGTTTCTGTTCTTTCCCTTTACATGGTTGCTGTAGTCACTGGGTATCCTGTTTTCCTGGTTCTTACTTTTTCTGAATTCTTCCCAATCATCATTTCTCAAGACACAATAAGGTCTGTTACATTTATTTAGCCATTTCCCAACTCACAAGTCCCCTGTTTCCAATTTTTTGCTGCCACCAGAAGTGTTGAAGCCCAGTCTCCTCAACCTGGCTGGAAAACTAAGAACCAGTCCTTCCCAGCTGCCAGCTCTAAGCTGCCAGCCTGAAGAAGACATTGGCTCTCCTACACAACACTTGCTAACTATCTGGCCAGCAGAACGGGGCTAAACGGGTAATTATCCAGACACTATTTGACTTTAGATCAAAGCAAGACTGTTACGCTTTCTTATTAACTATGTGAGGGAATAGCTGCTCTTTCTAGACCTGCCCTGTTTACCTGAGAGATCCACCCAGAAGACAATGAGGTACTTATGATACAGGGTACAGGCTGGGATTACCTCAAATACCAGAGGCAGGGAATCAGAGCAGCGGTCAATGGGAAAAATGCTGTCCTAAGTAAGACTTTTTATCTGGGTCTAGGGTTTTGATTCAGGAACAGAGAAGGGGAGTAGAGGGTGGGGGAAACAAGGTGTAAGAAGTTTATTTAACCTCTGAGGCAACAAGACTGTCATCAAATGTCAGTCTGTTAGAAAATAGGCGCTTCTATAAGGTAATCAGAAGAGATGAGGGCCTCTTTCCAGCCAAAGGGCCTAATCATAGTCTGGAGGGGAGATGACAATTAGAGAGAGGCTATCAAAAGAGGGCTGAAGGTTAGGATACAGGCTTGAGGTGACAGAGGGCAATCCAGAGAGGACAGGGGACAAAGGGTGCATGAGCCTGCATAGCAGAGAGTGCCAGGAAGCCTCAGGGAACAGCCAATAAAGAGTTAAAAAACTAAGGTCAAATCTAGGGCATCAGTGCTTCAAGATTCAGGCCCAAATCAGCCAGTCTAGGGTATGTATCTTTCTGAACTTTGCTGCTTAAATTTTTTTTTCAGTTACTAGCAAATAAGCAGCCTTGATCTGACTGATTTAGTAACTCCATATAATGTTCACTTTTCCCCTTTTAATATTAAAAAAATAAAAAAGCAGTTAGAAAATTAATCTGTAGAAAGTTTGTTGCAAGCCATGACAAAGCTAAGATCATTTTTAGAGGAAAACTGCAACATGTACGATAAAAAGATGGGGAAAAATACAAGAGATACCAGGAAAAAAAAAATAGAAGAAATTTCTGTCTCCCAGCAATGGAATGTTCTCTGAGCAGTGCATCTGAATCAGAGAGACCTTGAGAAATCCCTTTGTGACTTAAGTCATGTCAGTTAACATACCTGGGCCTCAGTTTCTTTATCTGTAAAATGAAGGGGGTAGAGGCCTGATGGCCTCTGAGGTCCTTTCCAGCCCTAGAACTATGACCTTATGACTGATTGTGAGTGAGATGGCAATAGCTTCTCATTCAAGTCTTCAAAATACTGGAAAAGCTTAGGGTGAAATATACATGTGCATATATGAATATTATATGAACATCATATGTATATATGAATGTTATATGTATAGGCAGATATATATATATATATATATATAATATATATATATAATATTCATAGCAGTGCCTTTTATGGTAGCAAAAACCTGGAAACAAAGTGGGTGGCTCACTGCCTGGGGAATGGCTCACCAAAGCAAGGTCTGTGAATGTGAATGTCAGAGATAACAAACTAAAGAATTCAGAGAATCATGGGAAGACCTGTAAGAAGTGCTGCAGAATGAAGTAAGCAGAACCAAGACAACAAAACTGCAGTGATACAAATAAAAACAACACTGAAAAGCAGCCAGACTCCGGTGGATTTTAATGACCCAATTTAGTCTAGGAGAATGGATGATGAAACATATTTCCCTCCTTTAGGGAGAGGAATGGAAGGGGACTAAGAGTATATAATGTTGCATATGCTATCAGATATGGTGAATGGGTTGATTGGTTTTCCTTAATTTTTTTTCTTTGTCACTAGGGAGTGTTTAATAGGAAGTGGGCATATTTGGAAATGTCCATAGTGTCAGAAACAACAGTCATCACTAAATCCTAGGGTAGAATTTCTCAGTGCCTCATTCCCCCTATAATACATGGAGTGGACTGCCCTGGTTGACTAAGAAAATAATGATTCCACTCCATTCAACCGAGGGGAACAGAGATAGAAATATGTTTAAAAAAAAAAAGCACCATCACGTTTTATGTCTTCTCCTAACTAATATCTGATGTAATCACCAGACGTCATGAGTGACGTATGCTGGGTTCGCTCTCCAGGCTGTCCCCTACTGAAGGGAAAAGACAAGAAATGCACACACACTACATTTATGAAGTATTACATCACCCTTGGGTTTCTGGCAAGGGACATTCTTCTTGGTTGGCAAATGGGCTGTATCACCTACAATTAAGAGGCAGTGTGGTGTAATGGCTAGAGCACTGGACTTGGGAGTCAGAAGACCTGGCTTCTAGTCCTGGCTCTGTTATTTACTAGTTGAATGACCTTGAGCAAGGCACAACCTCTTCAAACCTGTTTCTTCATCTGCAGAATGGGAATGATAATTATTTTCACTCTCTATCTCCCCAGAGTTGCCATGAAGATCTAGGAAGATAATGTATGTCAAGTGTTTTGTCCCCCATAAAGTAGTCTACAAGTTTTTATTACTGCTATTTATCTCGGGGGGATAATTCTCACAATCTGTAGTAATAACCATGAGGAAACAAATTATGTGAAAAGAAAGAGCCGGATAGAGAAGAAATAAAATCTCTCCCACCTTGAGGTCTTCCTTCCCCTGTCTCTGCAGAGCTGGGGGAGGGGAAGGGAAGAGGACCCTACGCATCTGGTGACAAGAACTAAGGAGATATGGCAGTGTGTGGACACGTGGGTCACACTGGAACACACAGACTCTGGCCACAGCTCAGAAGACAGACTGAGCTGATGCTACTCTGGCCCTCAAGGATGTCAAGGTAACCCTAATGACACACAGGCAGTCTCATTTCCATAGTCACTCCAGATTGGGGCATAATTACCTGAATTTGAAGCCACTGGAACTGAAGGACTCAAGCCTGAATCACTATAATGAAGAAGAAAAATTTGAGCTCATGTTACATCACATAAAGAAGGCAATGGTCACAAAATGACCCTTGGGAGTCTTCTGCCATTCCAATGATGATGACAAACATTTATATGCTAATGGTCACTTTGAATGAATACAATGAAACTGAGCCCACTATCCCTCAGTGGGCACATGACTACATTTATCCACCAAGCAGGAAAATTCTCCTGGAGGAAATATTGACCTGGACTGGGTGGGACCGAGCATGCTCTGAGCTCACCCTCAGGGCAGTGAGGACAGCGCACACCATCCTCCAGCTGAAGTCCTAAGACTTCACTGGGATGGGAGGGATGGACATATTTTTAATAGGATCAAAATGACCATGCAGGATACGAGAGGACAGTCATATTTCTGCAAACTGAGAATAAATCACCATTCCTATGACAGACTGTTTAGAGTTTGAGCCATGGAAACTGTCCTGGTTGGGGAGGGATTGGAGTTAGCATGGTATAGTGAGAAGACCACTGGATTTGAAGTTGGGGGATCTGGCTCTACTATTTACTATTTGTGTGACCTCAGACAGGTCACTGCATCTTGTTAGGCATCAATTCCTGAGAGGGTAAAGATGATCTGTAAGGGAGACAGTGGGGTATGATGGAAAAAAAAGTAGATTTGAACTTGAAAGACCTGGGTTCAAATCCTACCCCAGATACTAATTAACTGTGTGACCTGAGGCAATTCCTTTATTTCTTTATCTGTAAAATTTGAGTCCCTAGGATCCCTTCCAGCTCTGAGTCTTTCCTCACATGAGGCCTCCCAGCTCTACATCCTATGACACCAGGCTCTACAGGCACCAAATTCCCATAGCTGCAGGCTGTGGCCATACATGTCAGCTTGCCGACGGAGCCACTGTTGGCAGGCGCTGCTGTCTTGAATGTACTGAAGGACCTCCGACAACATGGTGCGCTTCAGGCGCTCCTCCTCCCGGGTCTTCTTGAGGTGATCATAGGCTCTGGCACCTAAAGAAGAGGCCAAGACCGTGAAGCCCATCCCTGCCCAGCAGTGCTGCCTGGATCCTCTGCCTAGCCTCAGTCACTGTCTGAGCTGCTGCCACTGTCTTTAACAACATTTCTTCCATTAACTGGAGGAAAATCTAAAATTTTTCTTGATACTGGATGAAAAGTGTACAACTTCCCCAAAGCACTGGTTATTTGAAACTGTCCAGGGGGTTTTCCTTTTCACTTTGTTCATTAGAACCTCTAAAGTGGAAAGATTCCCAAAGTCTGACCCTATTCCACCAGGGCTACAGCACAGCAGATAATCTGGGGAGGGGGGAGGGGGGAGGGGAGGGGAGGAGGGATAGCTTTCAACAGGATGACAAGGGAGGAAAAGAGGAGAGGAAGCACTGATCTGATCAAAGATCTTGCCCTCCTTTTTTTGATGTTTGTTTTTTCCTAATGCTCCCCAACCTTTCCTATTCCAAATAAACTTAACTGAAGGCACCTCAAATTCTTGAAAACTTGGTGAATAGGGAAGGACCAGATTCTCCATTTCTGAAACAAAGAAGATACAAGGTGGAATCTTGTGGTACCTGATAATCAGTATCAAAAAATCAAGATCTTAAGCATAGGCTCAGGTCTTAAAGGAGAACCCTGGCTTGAGACCTGGTGAAGTTCTTGACTTTGTTTGGGTTCTGGAGCTTTTTGAGAGAAGTCCGGTGAACCTACAGACAGACCCCTTCTCAGGATCAGGTTTTTAAATGCATAAAATAAAGTGCATGGGATAAAAAAGGAAACCAGCAATATTGAAAGTTATCAAAATATTTTAAAATGCAAGTTCATAGACTTCATGTTAAGAACCCCTGCTTCTACCTTCTCTCTCTCTCTTTTTCTCTGATGACATTTCTTCCACCCTGAAGGACACATGACTATTCACAAGTATGGGCCTATGTCAGGGTTCATGAACTTTGTTTTTTAAAAATATTCTGATAACTATATTTCGATAGAATTGGTTCACTTTGTAATCTTTTGTATCTTATTTTCTGCATTTAGAGACAGCATTGTGAGGTGTCCTTAGGTTTCATCAGATTGCCCTAGGGTTCAATGACCCAAATGAAGATTAAGGACTTCTAAATGCACAAGGCTGCACAGGAAGTTAAGAGAAAGAACTCAGTCTAATAGCAAAGCTTGAAACAAAGCAGACCTGCCCCAGGTCCTGGAAAATGCCAAATCTTCTGACACAGGGGCACTGAGGTCAATCTGAGTGTACTTACTACAAAAATTGGTGATTCCAGCTGTCCTGTACTCCTGAAGCCGCTTGATTTCCCTTCGAAGCTCAAATTCTACTGTCTCCCCACAACAAAAGAATGAAGAAGGACAAACAACAGAGAGATAAAAAGTGATAAATTGGTAAACACTTCCATTGGCATTTCCACAATTTGAGTCATTCTACATCATACCACAAGAGCAGGTTGGGGAGATTCTATTTGGGGAGGCTTATTTAAAAAACGTTTCCCCCCTGGCAGCTTCAATCAGAAGCTGATAAAAAAACCATTACAGCTGTTCTCCAGCTGTTGTGTCCAGATGTTTAGAGAACTGTTGTCTCTAAGGAAGTTCAGAGCTAGCTGGCTTCAACTAACTCTCCTGAAATAAAAAAAAAAAAAAGAAAACCAAACAAACCCATCTCTGTGAAAAATTCAGGCCCTGGAGACCAAATCCTTTCACCTGTGAGGTCTGTCTCTGAGATTAGCTGATATGTCCCTTTTTCAGGGAAAGCACAAAGGCCCCAGATAGGATTTCTTTGCTTTTCTCATAAAGGGACAAAAGAGCAGTTTGTTTTCCACAAACCCAAGGTTTCTGTCGGCCCTGAACAGACAGTTCAGGTTGCATAGGCTGGAATGTTAAGCAACAGAGTACTCTGAGCCTGGAAGGGTTTTAGAAATTGAGTTCTGACAGAGGAATGGCTCAGTCTGTTGGGAGGGCCCAGCTCTTCAGGGGTGACACACGAACAGGGTTCAGCACAAGCTGGGGCAGGAAGTGAAGGATCACTCATCAGGACAAACTGCACGTGGACAGACAGCCAAACAAGGCCATAGAATTGGTTCAGACTGATGCACACAATTCTCGTGCAAGCAAATATTTGAGTGATGAGACACTGGATAAATACGTTGGTAAGGTGCCTTCCCAGAATCCTCTCCTTGGTAATCCTGGGCAGAATAGTTGCCACGTACACAAAGCCCATAGCTGAGGCTACACATTGAGAAATACAGTCTGTGATGGTTTAAAACCTGCATCTTACTGCCTAGGTTACCTAGGGCTTTATGTGATGGGGGAAATCAGGTGAGGGAAGCTGTTGTCTCAGAAACTTCACATAAAGGGAAGTGAATACTGGTCATGCTGTCTGGATGACTCATTAAGCCCCAGTGCCACTGAAACACCTTGTGCTTCCCCAGATAAGTCACTTAGAAAGAAGTTTCTTGTTACTCTTCTTCCACCCTCAGAGTCATAAAATTATCTCCAGGGTCATAATAGAAGAGCCAAGACAGAAATACCCATCTATTAAACAAAAGTATATGTTAACAACAACACAATCTAGAGTGCCTCTCCTCTTCGTGTAAACACACACACATACACACAAATACTGAAGCTTGCTGGTTCCCTACATGCATAGCTTTCAATGAATTTGTCATGCTCAACTGGTCCCACGATCCTTGCAAACCTCCGCATCGTCTCATAAAGATCTTGGACCTCTTTGGGATAACGCCGCTCCATCACTGTAAGAAATAACAAGACATGACTTTTGATACCACAGTGAAAGGAGAGGGGTCTCTAGGTCATCTGTGTTTCCCAGGAGAAGGTCAGGGGGTGGGGGGAATGGGAAAAATCATTTATTAAGCACCTCCTGTGTGCCAGGCACCGCGCAAAGTGCTTTACCAATACTATTTCATTTGAGGGAAGGGAACAGTTTCAAACTATATGTGACATATTTACCTATGACCAGGAAGCAAACCAGAAAAGCTAAGAATGCAAAACATTAATTATAAGAATAAGAATAGCCAGCTTGTAACTACCACACAGTGATGTTATCACACAAGAGCATCTCCACAGAGCACCAAGGTGACTGCATATACCTTATTTTACCTGGTCAGGGGCACCTGCAAAAGCTAATGGGAGATACAACTGAGGGACGACACTTGGCAGCCTGAGTCACACTTTCTGATGTTATATGTTGCACTGGACCCACCCAAATTCATAGCTTTGTTTATCTCTCCAGAAAACCCAACAGCCAAGCTAAAGCTGTTGTCTTATCTCTGACACATACACCCCTGATATTAAATTATCCCTCTCCATGTACCCCCAGGAAAGGGGCACACTTCTTCATTGTGTGCATAGGGCATTTTGAACCCTGATAAAGGTGTGGAACTTGGCAGCTACAACTATTAAGAGTGACATTTTGCTGCCTCACCCTGCAGGTAGGCCCCCATTCAAAGCAGTCAAAGCCAACAGCTTCCAGAGTCACTTCCTTTCCACCAAGTATCTGCTGCAGTAAGGAAGGGAGGGGGGTGTGCAGAGGAAAAGAAAGGGCACACCTAGGCAGATAAGCCTAACACTGCTCTCAAGACACTCCTAAAGTCACTTGCTTTCTCAACTGCTGAAATAAACATCATAGATTTAGGAAGAAACCTCTGTTTTAGCCTGAGATTAAGAGGAAATACCCCTTTGAGGTAAATCACTTCCTAGACAGAAGACATTCTGTTCCTGTTAAGAGTCCATGGTATAATGGAATGCCCAGCAGCTGACAAGGAAGACTCCTCTAATACTAGACAGAAAACTAATTGATTTGTTGGAATCTCACTACATAAGAGGGTGGAATCTGGCATAAGGCCAGTCTGTTTTGGACTCCAAGGAGGCTGACTGTATACAGCAACTTAAAAGTTGCCTTTCACTAAAAATGTGTCAACTTATGTACCCAGTATCCTGGCAGCTGAGTCCTTCACACCCTCCCTGGCTTTCAGCAGCAACAAAACTTCCATGTACTTGTAGCATAAAGCTGTTGCTAATGAAGTAATAGGGCTGGGAAGAAATCTTCCCATTCAATGATAATCAAAATAGGGATGACCAGGCAATCTCTATGGTTAGTAAAGGTCAAAACACTGGGTGACTTATGTGCTTAGCTGTTATACCCTGCAATATGCAGGGAAACTCTAACTTCCCCAGCTTCCTTCAAGGCTCAGTTAAAATCCCGCCTTCTGCAACAAGCCTTTTCCAATTCCCTTAATGCCAGTGCCTTCCCTCTGTCGATTATCTCTAATTTATCCTCTGTGTGTGTGTATGTGTCTTGTTTGTACAGAGCTGTTTAAACGTTCTCTTCCCCATTAGACTGCGAGCTCCCTGAGGGCAATGACCATGTTTTTGCCTTTCTTTGTATCCCAGTGCTTAGCACTGTGACTGGCACACATAGTAGGCACCTGATAAATTCTTGTTTGACTTGACTACCATGGGACTAAAAGGACATCATGAAATCAGTTTCACCTAGGAGGTAGTCCCTTCAAGGTGAATGCCAGGTTACCTTCTGGGTGACAAGATGAACCTAAGAGGTGCCAAGGTGGATTTGTTATTTACAGTATAAATACTGAGCCAACCACTATTATTAGTATTACTAGATTTTCATCTTATTTTGCTAAACAAATTATACCTTGCTGATAGAAAAAGACAGCATTAAGTTTTAATCTGGTCTATCAGACACACCCCCTAATGATCCCCAGGGTCAATACTGTGGCCTTGAATCCATACCATGAGAGGACTGGCTAAAGGAACTGGGAGTGTTAAGCTTTGAGAAGAGAAGACTAAGGAGAGACATCATCACAGTCATCTTCAAGGACTTGGAAAACTATTCCAGGGATGAGTGATCAGACTTGTTCTGCTCAGCCCCAGAGGGTAAAACAAGAAACAATATATGAGACTTGCAAGAAATAAAATGTGGATTTAATGTCAAGAAAAACTTTCTAACAATTAAAGCAATCTAGAAGTAGGATGGGCTGCCTTAGGAGACACTGGGCTCCTCTTCAGTGGAGGTCTTCATGAAAAGGCTAAAGACTCATTGGGTGTGTTGTCATGGAGATTTGTAGAGGGTGGGAAGGGAATGGGCTGGGCTAGATGGCTCTTGAGGCCCCTTTCAACTCCTTTGAAAATCTGGACACTCCAAGTTAGGGGCCATGATGGTTATATGTTATGGCTTTAGCATCACTAGCCAACAGTGTTTAGCCTTCCCTTGTGTTTTAAGTCCCTTCTGTTTCACAATACACAATTAAGACAGAGCATCAATTCCTATTGATTTTTGATAAAACATATATAATTCAAAGGTCAACAAGTTTGTGCTATTATTATTATTGTTGTTGTTATTGATAGATGATCTCAAAACATTTCATCATGCACTTTTAGAAAGTGATCTAGTGCTCTTCCATTAGTATTCAGATTTGTGCTCTCTTAATTTTAGAAATTAATCACTTTGTCTCAAACCAGAGAGGGTGCATAATTAGTTTTAATCTAGTCATTCTTTCTGGAAGATATTTTAAAATAAATATATTAATAGTACTTACACTGAAATTTTTTAAGGTTGATTAAGCCATGGTCTCGTATGATCCTAGAATGAAAAAAACCCCACAACATTTACACATGATAAGGAATGTAGTGTATCCTCTGCTAAGAGACACAGGGAAGGATAATGGACAGAGAGCTGGCCTCAGTTAAGAATGGGTTTAGTCACTTGGGTTCCTCTCAGTGACTCAAGCAACTCTCCAGGACAGGGGATCTTAATCCCTTGGGTTCCAAGGACAGATTTAGCATTCCATGAACTTAGATAGGAAAAAAGATTACATCTTTATTTTTACTAACCTCTAACTGAAATTTAGCATTTTCTGGAATTACTCAAAAACATGATTCTGAGAAAGGCTTCACCAGACTGCCCAAGGGATATCAATCATGCAAGAAAACAGTTAAGAACCTCTGCTCGAAGACAGTAAGTTGTCTGGAAGGTGCTGATCTGACTTGGTAGAGGGAGTTTCCTCACTGGGAGGGAAAAAAAAAGTTCTCCACCCAAGTCCTAGTCCAATGTCTCCTCACAGTACAGAGAACTCAGGGAATCTCCTTGGGTTCTCAAAGGTTATACCAACAGAATGTGAGTTCTGGCAGGTCCTATCAGACCTGGCACATAGTAGGCACTTCATATATGTTTACTGATTGACTGGTTTGACTGATCAAACACTTCAAGGATAGGCCTAGTGATAGACCGCATGTCTACTGTCTGAGGATCAGCCTAGCTAAGGCCAGAAAAGAACAACACCCTTGAAAACCAACTACTCACAGGGCTTTTTTTTATTGATACCAAGAGTGCCCACCCAGGTAAACTAAGAGATCCAATAAATATGGAAGTAATTTAAAGTACAGCAGTACTTTCTGTACACAGTGTTTAATTAGGTTAAAGACTCTACACGGAGAGGTAAAGAATAGGGAAACTGAGACCCAAAAAAGTGAAGTTAAACTCTTCAAGGTTGCTTGAGTCAGTGAATTGAGAACAACATCCAGAATCTTAAGTCTCCGATAAACTCAACTGTTCCATGAACACTTTTTGCATTGTCCTGCCTCCATATTCCTGGAATACCTTTCCCTGTCGTCACCTGCTGAAATTTTACCCACCTTTCAAGGCCCAACAGAAATGCCACTTCTTCCATGAAGTCTTCCTTGATTCCTGCCCCCACCTCCCAAATATGGATGCAATCTCTCCTCCCTGCAAAATCTCACAAGGCTTTGTACCTTTCTGCTGAATTTAATCTTTCTGTATTCTAGTCCTTTGTGGACATGCCTTATCTTCTCTACTAGACTGTCAGCTCCTTGAGGACCAGAATAGGCTTTTATTTCTGAATATTCCCTAACCCCAGCACAGTGCTCTGCACAAATCATATAAACGTTAGTTGTATTATGTATTTTTTTCCTGTTCACACATGGAGTAGTTGCTTAATAAATATTTGTCAAATGAATGAATCAATCTAGGACTGTACTTCATGGGATAAAGGATATGTGCCTGCTACTTACGAGGACACATTCCAGGCCAGGAATTCTGTGCTGTGTGAGAGCTGGGAAAACTACCTAAGTCACTGAGGTTATGCCACATTAATCAATAGAGAAAATGATTAACAATTCCTTTATATGATGCTTCACAACTTTTTATAATTCAATTCAACAAACATTATTTACTTCCTGCTACGTGAGAGGCACTGCGGATGCAAAGATGAACTATGACCCATTTCTTGTCCTCAAGGAGCTTACATTCTACTAAAAAAGTATGGTACATACATAAACAAGTATAATACAAGATAGAGTGTGATGGGGGCACAGGAGAGACCAAGACAAATTAACCTAAGAAAAGCTGAGCTTCTTGGGGGAGACAAGCAGTACATGAATGGATCTTGAAGAATTTCAACAGGTGGGAATGGTGAAAAAAGTACATTTAAAAGGCAGCCCATTCCTATGGTGGAATGGGCACTGGATTTGGAACCACCGGACCTGGATTCGAATCTGGACTCTAATACTTAGTAGTTCTGTGTGACCTTGGAGTAAGTCTGTAAAGTGAAAGGATGGAACTAGATAATCTCCACGATCCCCTCCAGCTTGAAATCTATGTTCTTAGGACCTGGATATATGAAATGACATCTCCAGTGATCCTGATCCAGATCTCGCCATTGGACCCAGACAGCTCTGGAGGAGAAAGTGAGCCTACTGACTAACTGCACAGCCCTCTCTCACTTAAATCCAATTCCCCTGCATGTCATGGCGTCACCTCCCTGGTGCCATGGTCCTCTTCGAGAACACAGGACCAACAGCAACAGGAGAACATAGAGAGGAGAAAGCCAGCAAGCCTCTCACTGCATAGTCCTTGTTTAACGGAGGGAGAAGGCCTGTGTATGGCACGCAGTCTGTGAGTGAGCCATTAGAGGTTAATTAACGTCAGTGCTAAATGAGGCTAACACCAGCATCTGAGCCGCTGCTCCAATCCCCAGTCTCTATTGCTCTTTGTCCCTAATTGTGTTTCAGGCAGAACAAAAGCTTGTATTCTCAGGAACAATGAGTAGCTGTTTGCTATTTTAGAGCTTTCTAGAACAGGGAGCCTTCCATTCCACCAGGGGCACGGGGCGGATGAGACCTACGCTTCTCCTCGGGGGAGGGCAACTCTGAGAGGCTCAGAGTCCCCTGCACAGATGCCCTGGTCCTTCATTAGTGTTTCCTGAGCTCCAAGCCTAGTAAATACCTTGTTAATGCCCTGGGACCACTGTCTCTCTCTCTCTCTCTCTCTCTCTCTGGTTACTTTCTCTCTAATAAAATCCTTCCTTAAACAGATACACAGATACATACACACCTTAAAATTTAGATCATCTAATCTAAATCCATCATTGTATAGAGTGTGGGAGCTGGGGCCCAGAGAGGAGAAATAGGTCTAAGGTCTCAGCTGGTACAAAACCATCAATCAATCAACAATCATTTATGCAACATCCTTTGTGTGCCACATACTGTCCTAGGCACTAGGGAAACAAAGCTAAAAATCAAACAGTCCCTGCCCTCTAGCCAAGACAAATATTTTCCCCATTTTACTGAGGAAATGAGGAGACTGAGGCTTGGAGGTATTAAATAATTTGCCAGCAGTGACACAGCAGCAATGGGACACAACTAGGACTCGAACCCAGGTCCCCCTACCTTCAAGTGCCATGGGACCCTTTCCACTACACAGCTCTGTCTCTGTGACCACAGTGGGTTCTAGCAGCCCTAACACTTGAGTGTGTATTTTGGGTCTACTAGAACACAACCAGGGATAGACCCAGGAGTCTGTCTGAAAATCATCCAGTTTCTCTGAAATTCTTTTGAATGAAAGGTTCCTTATAAGAGTGATTGGTCATAAATGACAGCATTTAGAAAACAAACAAAAAAACAATCCAATAACCCTAGCAACACAAAACCCCCTTAAATTTAGCTCATGTCTCTCTTCTGGGGAGATCCAGACTACACACCTGAATCATCTCCTCTGTCATTGTAACATTCCTAGGAGGCTAGGAGGAAGTAAAAATGGAACAAGGACTATTATCCCTCTTTGACAGACAGAAAAATTGAGGGAGAGGGACTTGCCCAAGGTCACAAAGTGAGTCATCAGTCACACAGCTCTGACGTGCCTCATGCGGTCAACATTTCAAGGTCGGAAGACAAGAGTCGGTTGAGTAAACTTACTTTTTCCGCCTCTGCCTCTCTTTTAACCTGGAGTGATAGATATCTACCACAGCGATCTTCAGGGCTGAAAACACAAAAGCCACAACAAAAATAAATCTGTTATGCAAGCTTCTTGAATCCTTGGTCCTTGAAGTCCACATGGCCAAATGATGCAGACTTAATCACTAGACAGTTTACCTCTGGAAAGATGAAAATGTACCCTACATCCCTTAAAGTTCTCTAGCAGCAAATTCTAACCCAGGATCCCAGACTTTCATTTCTTCCCACACACAGCTACAAATTTGGTTATTTGTAGAGAGAAAATAATAATGGTATCATTTTTCTGTACAACTTTACCTTAATATCTCTGGTCATCTCTCTAGGGCAAGAGTAAAAATGGTTCAGCTGTCCACATACAAGACAGACACGAAGCCTGGATGCCTTAGAGTAATGCAATAAAGTAATTATATCAGTCGTATCATTGTAGTCTTATAAACCGACAAGTCTTCATGAAATACCTTCTACGTGCCAGGCACTGTTCTGGGTGCTGGGGATATAAATACAATACATGGGACAGAGTACCGGTCCTGGAGTCAGGAGGACCTGAGTTCAAATTCAGCCTCAGACACTTAACATTTACTAGCTGTGTGACCCTGGGCAAGTCACTTAACCCTGACTGCCTAAGTAAAAAAACCAACAAAAAAAAAACCCAAATACAATGCATGAAGCAATCCCTACTTGCAAGAGGATCATGGATCTGGATCTGGAAGGGATTTTAGAGGCTACCTAGCCCAGCTCCCTCATTTTACAATGGAGAAAACTGAGGCCTATGCAGGTCAAGTGTCAAAGGTACGATTTGAACCCAGGTACTTTAACTCTGTAGCTAGTGCTCTTACAAATATAGTCAAGAAAATTAATATTAATTGTAAACCCAACTGACTAGGCAGAAATGTGGAAGACCCATATGGGAAGGGGTGGGCAATGAAATCAAGAGGTAATGTGAAAATGGGACCAATGTAGACTGTGGTAAAGTGAAGTCAGGAGACAACATGGAGATAGGACTTATGGAAGGGGGCCAGTATTTACATCTGGACTGGGATGGAGGACCTAGCAGGTTTGATGTGGATCTTTTTTTTTGGGGGGGGGATGAATGTGGAGAAACAAGGAATTATTTTAGGAGTAAAGCTTTGCATCTGGTTTGTGAAAAGCTCCACTCCTCCCTGACTAAAAGCTGCTTCTAGTCACTTGAACCTCTCCTCTGATATTGCTTACCTCAACCCTTTCCTAGCTAAGATCTTCTGCAAAGCCATGGGGAAAAGGAAGACAAAGGGAAGCAAGAAAGGGAAAAAGGAAAAGTTGCAGTTGGAATTTGTCCAGGGATCAGCACAGACTGTATTTGTATTGGGTGCCAGTGCAACATGGGGTACTGGTTATCTTTGGATTATTTTGAGGCAGATTTTTCATGTCCTTTTCTTCTCCCTATTTTAGGGCTACTGCCTTTATCGGCTCTAGCTCTGATCATTTTCCCTCAAATCTAGTCATATTTCTCCATCTACCTACTAGACATCCTCTGCCTTGGATTCTTGATCATCTACCTTCGAGTTATCATCTAAAGTTGAACTCATCCATCCCAAATTGGTTCCTTCTCTTGATATCCCCGTTTCTGTCAAAAGTATCCTTTTTGGAAAAACCCTGGACTTTCCCACATGGCTAGAAATCTGGAGTTCTCCCGAGGCTATAATCCCATCAACTGGCCTTTCATTGTGGACCTCCCTATGGCCACATATGGTCATACTGTGGTCCTCCCTATGGTCCAGGTCCCAGGAGTTAGGTTCACCCTAGGTTACTGGCCACTCCCATCCAGATCCTCCTTAGACCCCTCCTCCAATCACCCCAAACTACTTGGCCACTCCTAGATCCCTCTACAGTCTTTCTGTATATAAGGTCCATCTTGTCTCCATTAAAGTGTTTAGATTCTTAAAATCTAGCCATGGGCTCAGATTCTTATGATCTAGACAACAGCTCACTAACTTCAGACTCCTTAAGAGTCTGCCCAGTGTGACAGAGGTTCTAATAAACCTTGTCTTTGGCTGAAAAAAAAAAGGGGTATCCTTTTTGTTCCAGTAACCTAAAATCAAAACTTGCCATCTTTGCTCCTTTTCCCTAAGTAGTGACTATGGCCTATTGCTTCTTCGTTTATAACATATCTCACTCTTGCCTCTTCCTTTCCACTCCCATGACCATCATCCTAGACCAGGTATTCATCAGCACATACCTTAATGACTGAAGTAGTCTCAAACTTGATCCCCTTTCCTCCAGTCTCTCAATTTCTTAAAAGAGCTTCCATCATGTCATTCCCTTATTCAAAACCTTCAGGAGCTCCCCATTATGTGGAGGATAAAGTCAAAACTCTTTGGTCTGTCATTCAAAACTCCTCACAAGATGAACCTAACCTGCTGTTTCAATTTCTCTCCTATCATTCTCCCTGATAAACCCTTTGCTCTAGACAGAATTCCCTTCCTCCTCTTCCCAGAATCCCTTTATTCTGGCCTCTGAAGATTCCTTTGCTCTAGCTGTTGCTGACCATTGAATTCTGCACATCTACATTAAGGCCCAACTGAAGTTCTACTTCATCTAGACTTCAGGAAAACATGAAAATTATCTTCAGGTATCTGAAGGGCCACCAGCAGGAAGAGGGATTAATTTTACTTTGGTTAGCCTCAGAGGGCCAATGATTGGAAATTGTACACAGACAGCCTTAGACTTAAGAAAAACTTCTTAACAATCAGAGCTGCCAATAAATAAATAAAAATAAACAATTGGAGCTGCCCATAAATGAAATGGACTGAATCAATCACTAGATGTCTTCAAGCAGAACTTGGACCATCATTTGTTAGGAGGGATGTGGAAAGGATTCCACTTTCAAATTGGATCAGAAGACCTCTAAGGTCCCTTCCAACTCTGAGTTTGATAATTCCTCTATGTTAGCTTCCCTGATCACTCAATCCCACTGGAACCCTTCTCTTCTTAGAACCCCTAACATTTACTTAGAGGCATTTAGGTAGCACAGTGGATAGGAAGAACTGAGTTCAAATCCTGCCTCAGATACTTTTTTGCTGTGTGACCCTGAGTCACTTAATCATTGTCTGCTTCAGTTTCCTCATCTGTAAAATGGAAATAATAATAGCACCCATCTTACAGGGCGGTTGTGAAAGAGAACATGTGTAAAGCACTTTGCTAACTTTAAAGAGCTATATAAAACCTAGTTCTTGTTTTCATTATTATTATCATTATTACTGCTGGAAACTTAGCCACACTGTTTTGTGATACCTCTTATATTGTTGCCTTGAACACTGGCAACATTAGTTAACATTATATATGTCTACATAATCTCCTTGAACACAGGACAGATGTACTACAGGTTTTTGTACCTGCAGTGTCTATCCCAGGACTATTTGTACATTGTGAGTCCTCCATAAATACTTGTTGAATGAATGGAAAAAAGACAAAAGCTGACTCTGTTACTTATTAACAGCTCTGGAAAAAAAAAAGTCTTGGTAGGAAAGGCGTCAACACTATTGTCTAACAGGCCCTTATTTTTCATTATCTATGGTCTTAATTTCTCTGTTCTTTCTCCGTTTCCTATTGCCATGGCTAACTGAGAATGGAATGCTTATTTTGAAAGAAGATTCATATGTGAAATGCCTCAAAGTCTCAGATTTTTAAATCAGCAAGACAAACTCTTGCCAACTCTAGAAAAAACATGGGGAGCTGGGGCTGGGGGGGGGGGTGATCATGTAACCAATCCATGGTACTCTGAATCATTCTTCTCATTTAGATTTCCATGGATTCTGAAGGCATCCTAAGGTTACATTTTCTGGGTAGGTCCTAGAAATATCTTGGTATCTCCTTAAATAAGTTTTGTGTGGGCTAGTGGGACTTTTCCCCCCTCTTTTTGGTTTGAAGGGAGCCAGCAGAGATTTTCTCCCGATTATTAAGTGCCAATGTATTCTGAAAAGTAACAGGGCTGGGCAGATGGCCTATCTTGAGTGCTCTGAAAAACTATAATGCATTATGCACTTAGAAAATGTTATCAAGAGTTAGCAAACAATATACCAGCTTCTGATGTGAGGTAAAGCCTTCAGTTTTGTCTATGTTTTTTTTCCTTTAGTCCCAACACTGGAATCATTTCTTCCAAGGGAGTTGTCCTAGTTCGATGACACACCCTGGCATGGTCCTTTCCCTAAAGCCTCAAGAACTTTGGTAAATTCAAATCACAATCCCTTTGACTTCTCTTCTAAGGAAGTTGAAAGACAAGCTCAAGTTAAGGTGGTACAAGCTTAGTTCATGACAGGAATGAGTCAGCACTCAATATGCACTTTCCTTTAGTACTGGATTTTATGGTAGAAAAAAAAATAGAGTGATCCAAAGAGAAAAACCAAGACCAGACCACCTCATTAAATTCACCAATTTGGAGCCAATGTGTAATCTCAAAACTAAGCTGCCAGGAAATAATCATAATAGCTGGCATTTACATAACTCTTTGAGATTTACAAAGCATTTTACATACTGTTATCTCCTGTGAACCTCACAAAAATCCTGCAAAGTAGGTAGTGGAAATATTATATTCTCCTTTTATATATGAGGAAAACGAGACTCAACAGAGGCTAAGTGGCTCACCCATCAGGTAAGCAGAAGCAGAGTGGGAAGCCAGGGCTCTCCTGATACCAAGTCCAGCACACTTTTCATTATGCCACACTGCCTAAGGACATCCAAGAGATTATCCTGGAGACAGCAAATAAGGAAGGAAAGGCCGTTTGGGAATATAAAGCAGTGTATTTCTCTATCACTTCATCCACAGGAGATTTTTAGAATTATAACAGAACTGCCTAAAAGACTAAATGGACAGCAAGGCCTGTCAGATCCTTGGTTATGAAGAAGGGCTGCTCTATCTGAACCACCCTCCTCTGTTCTGGTCCAAAAAGAAAAACGTATTGAGTTAAGACAAAAGACACCTGAAGTTCTAACTGTAAACTCGTATCAGAGTTAAATAGTCATTGCCATAAGCACTTGCATTTTGCAGAG